CATCACAGGTTATATTATGTTGAATTACATCGACGGTGCAGTAAGTTTATTAAACTTATTAAATAAAACGCAGATTGAACAATGATCTAATTTAGGCATGTGGGGAAGGTAGGTCGGGGTTTATGAGTATTCGTGACTACATTAAGTGTTTTGAAGTGAGGTTAGATTAGGGAGGTAAAGTGTAGGTTATAGGTAGGTGATCGAGTTGTTTATTTGTGTTGCACCATAATTTTTATCTTTTGGAATAGTTGGTTAAACGGGGAAACGATTTCAAAAATGTTTGCATATGATCTTAAAAAACCATCTACTGTATTCTAGCATTGACTTTATATAAAGTCAACAATTATAACAAATTACTACATAAAACCCAAATGAAAAGAACATTTTTGGATTTGGACCTTTGACCATAGCAAAACTAACATATAATTTATGAAATGTGAAAAGTTGTATATCATTAAATACTATTCTGTAATATTAATAATTGTTCGGCAAATCCTCATTTTAATGGCTCGGCTGAAAATGGAATCTGCGTTTTGTGAAACAGTAATTTGGTAACAATTCAGTAATTTCAAATGTTGACAACAGTAGCCTATCCTATATAAATACTGTTATTTGATTGCCAAGCCACGGACTATACATGCGTCCAGTTACAACCGTAATAAGTAAATAATTAATTACCTGTACTTAAAGAAGTACACTTTTAACCAAGGTATGGATACCGTAATCGTCTAGGCCTGTCCAGAAGTAGGCTACTAATTTCTAATTATATTATCTAGGCTACATTTTATTTTTAAGGCATGACTTCCCTTCTTATTATTATTCTGTTTTCACTTAAATCAGCTGAATATCTGCGATGTTTACTTATTACTTATGTTTAGGCCTACATTTCAGCCATCTTATTTTATTGTTCAATAAGTACCTAAGTCTTTTTGCAGTTTTACACATTGAGATACATGATTGATAAATCAGTTCATTCTAGTCTTTACATTTATTCTAGGTGTTTTTCATTTGAGTCTTACATTAAAATAGCCCTACATTTTTCGAAGGCCTATGTTTTATCTTTGACTATCAATACAACTAGACATTCCATCCCCATGTTAAATTTGTAACCAGCTTTTTCATCAAAATATTCTGTATCCAATGGCCAATGGTATTATTAAGGACAGTATTAAAATGCCGTCTCTAAATCGTCCTAAATAATGGTAGAAGACCTAAATTCCAGGTACATTACAATCACATCCTCCATCAAGAATACTTGGTATTAACAATCATAAATTATTTCTAGCAAAGAAAGCTGAGTTTAACCACAGTCTAACAATAAATATATTAGACTGTGGTTTAACCGATTGCAGGGGTTGAAATGAAGACCAATGTTAATGTTGCACAGTTGAATTTAAATATCAAATTTCCCCTGCTGTTGTAATACTTTAATACTCGTTTTTTTAATAGTTAGGCCTACTGTTTTTTTTATACTCTAATATAGCCTACTTTAACCGATTGTAAGGGTGAAAAATGAAGTCCAATGTTTTTGTTGTAGGCTACAGTTGAATTTGAATGTTAAATTTCCTTTCTCTTTTTTATACTTTAATGCCCTTTTTGGATGTTACCCTACCAGATTCCAATTACTGTAATATTTTCCTGGTCAAAACTACCATATTGCACTTTTGGAAGAGGTATCTGAATAACAATATGTAGTAAAAACAAATCTGAATTATTATAATTTTAATCAATAAAGCCAGCATTAGTACATCTATTGACCTTTTTACATTTAGTTACTTATACAAATATCAAATCACGTTTGTTCCGCTCAACTGGCTTTCACCTCTCTGAGAGCAACCCTAGTTAACTAATGTATTGACATCTGTTTCAGAATATAATAACATTCAAATCAATCACGATATTATCCTTATGGAAGGAACTTTGAGGGCAGCCCACGTCCTTAAAAAGATATATTTCGAAAATCTAAAGCCAGTTTGCACATCTACTCTCCCAGACGAAGATTTTGGTATATAATATGTGGGGTTAAATCATAACACAAAAAAGCCTTATTGTTCACAAAGTTTCATGTCGCGTATTAAATATATAGACTTTCTATTTTCTATTAGGCCTTCAACTAGGCATAACTAACTTACAACAATATGTACGAGTCTAACTTAGGCCTAGTTGATAAAACTTTAAGGCAGCCCTGTTTTGGAAATAGCCCTAATGGAAAAGTTCCAGGAAGAAAAAAAGAGAGCGAGTGCCATGGTTAGGTTTACTGTAGGTACTTACTTATCATTCACGATTCAGAAATGCATTTTAGACGAAATTGTGAAATTGTTTCCTTAGATGAGTGTTGACATTACAGTCGGAAAAATTACAATAGTCTCAAATAATGTCTGTTCAATCCATTTATATGCCTTTAAACTGTTTTAAAATGTCCAGAATTCAGAATTAAAACAGTAAACAAAATAACAAATTATGTTCATAAACTGTGACATGACATAAATAGGTAAGACTTCTTCTTGAGTTCTTATTCTTGTTAACTTACAATGAGTAATCTTGTCTCTTTATTTACACTCTACCCAAACTTAACTCTCAACTGTATTCACTGACACATTCTACTGTAGTCATTCTAGTGATTCACGGATTGACAACTTGTTTAAAGCCTAGTGTCGAACTTCCACCATGGTGTCGAAGCATAGATGTATACATTTTATAAATGTATAAGTAATATAAATGGTGTTTATTTATTCTATGGTCGAAGTCCGTCTGTCTGTGGTGGACTGGTGGTTACAAGTCTAAAGTCTAGTACTGAGTGATTCGATTCAACATCAACAAAAACAATAAACAATCAACACAGCCCCACTCGCTTAGCTGGTGATCAGCTGGAGCAGATGTTGGTAAAAGTGTTGCCAACCCTGTAAACCTAGGGATAGCCTAGGGTTCACTACGATACTCGGACAGAATACGATTGAATCGATCTATCGAGAGTCTGCAATTTCACTATCGATATTGAATTGTGTACACTATCGATATCGGAAAATCGGATTCGAGTTTGTTGTTGGATTTGAGTCTGTGAGTATTGAGTTTTCAATTTCAATCGGACTCAAATCATCTACTCAATCCACCTCTACAACCTAACTGTACAATTTGTTTTTCAGGATTAGTTTTGCCGACAGTGTCATTTGGAGGCTTCTGATTGACTATAATGAAGGTTTACTAATTGGAAAATTAGTTTTGTTCGTAAAATAAAATTATAAATGCCTCAAATTCAATTTTATATTTTTTATTATGAAATTAAACGGTCATAACCTAACCAAGTGCTGATAATGAAAAAATCTAATGAAGGTTTATTAATCGAAAAAAATAGTTCTGTTCATAAAATAAAATAATAAATGCCTCAAATTCAATTTTATAGTTTTTTAATTATAAAATTAAACTATCATAGCCTAACCAAACTCACCAGACATGCTGATAATAAAAAAACAAATTAAGGATTAATAAAAAAAATATATTTCTGTTCATAAAATAAAACTATAAATGGCTCAAATTCAATTTTAATTATAAAAACTGTCATAACCTAACCAAACTTGTTGATAATGAAAAAATCCAAGACAAAAAATTAGTGATACGGGTAGGATTCGAACCCGGCACCTTTGGCTTATCAGCCCGGCACTCTATCCACTACACCACCGAGGCCTGTTATGGTCCTCAAAATATGAAAAGAAGTGCATAATAATACCAAATGTTTAATAAGGTGTATAATAATTCTAAACAAAATAATACAACCCCATTGTTGGTTTTGAATTTTAATTTTTAATTGCTGTAACAGTTGCAGTTCAAGTTAAAAGCCTTTAGCACCATCTGTTCAATTCATATACAGTAGAACCTCGATAACAAGTCAACCTTGATAACAAGGGTTATTTTAAAATCCCCTTGGAATTATTTTACCCCTAATCATATGTTATTGCAAACCTCGATAAGAAGTCAACCTTGATAACAAGTCTTATTTTATAATCCTTATAAGTCTTGTTATCAAGGTTCTACTGTAAATTATAGCCAATACCATAGATAAAACATACTCCCTTAAGACTTGTGCTGCTTAGTTTAGTCTATGCCTATACACATATAATTCAAAGTCAAAATAATCCAATTATGATGAAATTTGTTACAAACGTGTAAAACAACGTTTGTTGTAGCGTTCCGTTAGCATAATCGGACTATGAGCAGAGGTAAAAATGCTGGGGTTTCCTCATGTTTGACCTTATAAAAACTTCAAACATCTTTGTAAATAATTCATTAATGTTAAAAAAAAATTTATCAAAAAACATGAAAATAACTTGTTATTTTGAAGTAGATTATTAGGTAAACTTGTTGGTTCTATTTTGGCTTGTTTGTGGATATTTGACTTTAATTTTAATTTTTTGTACAATTCAATACCAATCTAAGTACATTTTACCGAGAACACACTTTACCTTCCCTGTATCTTATAACGCTATATCAGCAAACATAAATATTTTAAAACAAGAGAACAAATCTTACATTGAAATGGGTGATGAGTATACTACACTTTTCAGTACCTACCGAGCTTACAAGGCAATTAAATATTTTTTAAAGATTTTATTGATGGAAAGACTTATTTCAAATAATTATATTCCCACTTGGTGTGAACAATTTAAGTTTTGTTGACTGATAGGCCTACTATGATTAGTGCACTTTATAATCAAGCTTCAACTTTGTACTTGACTGTGTGGTAATTTATAATAGAATATATATAAAAGATAAATAAAATAAATAATTAAGATGTTTTTGTAAATAATTTAAATTATATATAGTTAACACAAAACGATAAGAGAGTATTTTAGTATTTGTTTTGATAAAAGAAGTAAAATATCAATAGGGTTATCCCAATCGAGAGGGCTCTCAATTAATTATTTAGTTTTTATTATTATATAAAATAGTTTTTCTATCATTTGTGTTCATTTATTTACATTGAGGACAAGAACACAAGAATGCAATACAAGAATACAAGAGTACTTTATTTTACAATTTTTAAGATTGAAAAAGGCATCAATACAATATGTTATCGATTAAAAATCTTTGTTGATTGGAGTAGTTGCAGTAGAAAGATGATTTAACTTGTAACGTAGTCACTCTAGTTGCTGCCAAGACAAATATTCATCAATGCTGTAGAAAGTTCTAAGTAACAGCACCTGTGATGTTCCTTCTTCAGTCTTCTAGAACAGAGAATGTTTACATGTTATTAAAATAAGGAGGCTCGTGTAGGATGAATGAACAATTCTCCTCGGCTAGACTGCAATGTTAAAACTTTAAAGTGTCTATTTGGGTTGAATGGAGCATGTTCTCGAGAAATTAACATTTGCAGACAAACTAATGCTAAAATTCATTGAACATCCACAACATTTTATTCACTTGTATTTAAGTACGAGTTAGATAGCAGTTTTCTAAATTAACATAATTTAATTAAAATGTCCCTTTTGACCAGATTTATTTCTACCTCAAATCATGGTTCTCTAAGTAATTAACAGATCAACTTCACTTTTTTATGAACAAAGACAGCTTATGGTTTACAAAAAATATAACCCATACCTATTTTAAAATCAAGACTAATGCAGGTTTTTTTTAGCAATAGCAATGGTTTATCTGTATTAGGCTTAAGCCTAATTTTGATTTTAAATAGTGCCGCAGATGCTTTTATTTATGATCACATTACCTTAATCAAATACCTATATTTGCATGAAATTGGTTAAAGCTTATTTGCCTATTCTACCAATGTTGCTGTCCCGTTATATTTTATCTTCCAACTAAATTAATTCTCAATTTTTTCCCACATTAAAATACTATAATGCAGTGGGCGGTTCCAAGGGGTGGAGGGCTGTAGGAGCAAGAGCCCTCCCCATTAGAATCTGACTCTGGAACCCTCTGGAATTGAGGTCCAAGTGTAAATTTATTTGTTTAAAAACAATTACTAGATATAGCATACTTATCAACTCTTGTGTGTATACAATTTACTTACAGTAGGCCTTGTTTGTAATTATCTAAAACTAACGTACCGGTAACTTGAACTAAGCCAAAGCGAAATGTTAAGGTAGGCCTACTTTGGTATTATCCGGAGGCCAATTATTTTAGAGAGATTTTTTACTGGAGAGTCCAAAAATAACTACATAGGCTACTGTAATAGGAAAAAACCTGCTTTAATTGACTGACTGTCCAAATTTGACATGATTACAATTAGCGGCCTTTGAGTTCTGTCTCCCAGAAAAAAAGGCAGCGATGTTGGCGAGGATTGAGTTGAATGCGTCGCTGCCGCTATACTCCGCCAAGTAGGTATGCAGCACGCTGCGGCGGTCATGATAGGTTGGATTATCATAAATATGTTTATAAAACTTTCCTCGTTTTGTTATGAATTGAACTATACCAAATGAGTCTTACTTTTGCCCGCCAAATACCCCAGATACAGGTGGTAACAAGTGATGAATGCTCCGGTCAATGACCTGGCTAAGTACTTGAGGGGATATGGCGTGCAAAAGTAATTTATGACTCATCTGGTATTGTAAGATTCATAAAGAAATTAGGAAAGTCCTGCAAACAAACATATTTGTGAAAACCAAACCTAACATAAGTAACTGCGCTGTGTAAGGGTGGCCTCCGGATAATACCAAAGTACCCAACTTAACCGCCACAGCACGTGTTAACGAGTCTTTTTGAAAAGCATAAATAACTTAAATAAATAAGTTATTCAAGTTATATCAAGTGAAAACTTCGACTGATAGGCCTACGATAGAAATATTAAACTGAATTTCCATCTGATAGTAAGTTAAGTTAAGTTAGTCCTAGGCTATAAGTTAGGTTCTCTACAGACTTGTAGGCTACCTATCGATTCAATCGCTCTGACAACTGCAAAAATTGCAACTAAGCAGCATCTTAGGAAACGACTTAAGTTAAGTTAAGCTTTCATAACTTTAATGTTCTTAAGAAACCGATTAAATCTTACTGATAATCCTAAAAATGTTTTCAAACTTCATCAAGTCCCTACGTTAACCTTATTAGGTACAATTACTTACCTTACCGCCACTCCTCAGAATCTTCTGATTAATACTTTCAAGGCTTAGAGGTTAATAATCTAAGTTAATCTATTTAATTTTAGTCAATTATCAAATCAAGGAGACAATAACATGAATGGATTTATTAGGTAACTTAATAGCCACGAATACTTAAAGTATTCGTGGTAATAACATATTTCTACCTGTACTTCTCGTGGAAAAAGCAAATCAGTTTGATGCCAGACAAACATACCTAATTGGTCAAATTCTTCCTTTAACCTTACATAGCCCGAAATCTCCTTGGCGTAGGCCTATGACAATTTAAATCTGTTATATGTGTGTTGCACAAGTTTCCATCTCTTTTAAAGTTAATTCCATTTTAAAATCTAATTTACGTGTAGGGCCTATCGTGTACCTGGCCACCTCCAACAACTATAAACTTAAGTCACACAAAAATGACAATGTCAACAATAACAACATAACAACATAACACGTAAACGTAAACAAACATAGGATACGATACGAGACGAGATACGATGATTCCGTCGTCAATTTTCGTCATAGAACCGATTCGACTTCAGTAAGAAAGAAATATCGCAGAGTCACGATAGATCGATTCAATCGTATTCTGTCCGAATATCGTAGTGAACCCTAGGCTATCCTAAACCTAGGTGTTTTGAATTACTAGGTGGCGTTCGCGGTGCGGTCGCAATGAGGGGAGGACTCGTAGTAGGACGATGACGTCATTAATTAGTTCAAATTTGTTCCACGGGCAGCACTCTAGTCAGGCAGCCGACACCGTTATGACGTCATCAACTTTACTTTTTTTTAGGCTTGGCTTGATGTTTTGTTGATGTTGATACATCGATCGGTGCAGCAGAAGACAAGAGTTGCAGTTGAGTATTTTAGTATTTTTATTATTACTAGTGTACATGTTGCTCGAAATCGAGCAATTGCAAAGTACAGGAGTTACATATAAACAAATGACTTGTTTAAAAACTAATAACAGTCACAATTTCCGATGATTTTAAAAGAGTCAACTAAAAGTTTATAAACTAATGGAAATACTCACAATTTACATAACAGTCCTATACCAGTTTAAAGGGTTAATTTTTATTTTTCTAACTGCCCATGGACGGAAAAAGGTAAGCTTACAGTTTAAGTCAACGTAAAAAGGCTGTCAGCTTTTATAATGCACAATACCTAAGTTATTTAGCCAATTTGTAGACCAAAATTTAAGGTGTAGGACTTTAAACTCTACAGAACAGAGTTAGGCAAAAACTGGCAGAACTCTGAAATGGTGAATGTTATTTATCATAGGCATACTCATATGCCAAATCCTTAAAATACAAATTCAATACAGTAACTAATAAATGATATATCATTAAACACAAACCAAAAAACTATACAAATTTTTAATACAACATAGATAATTTACACATTGACTGTTTACAATTAACATATGTTCTTCTCCTCACTTTTAATTTTTGCTTCGCAACGGGAAAAATCTGTTTCATAATCAATGAAATAAATTTATAATAAATAATCTATCATCAAGTTTAAGATTAAATAAGCCTACCACATAGCTGTTTTATTTTTTTTTTATCCGCTGTCTGAAATTGTTAAATAGGCATTTGACAGTTCTGGTTGTTTACATTTAAATGTCAAAGCAAATGTAAACGTCGTGAATTTTCTCATGCTTCCATGGAGACCAATTATAAATATTCAATTTCTGACAACAGCTGAAGTTTCAAAACAATGATTGTTTCCCATGTTAATCTTATGGAGAAATACGTAGCTTTAAAGGGCCCCAGCGCCTCACTCTCTAATTATTTCCCTAAAAATAAAGTTTCCTGCACAACTTCACGTTACGCTCTTTCCAATGACACCAAAAACATGTCAATCGGTTCAGTAGTTTCGGAGGAGTAATTGTCACAAAAAACCTGCTTGCGTATTAAATAAGTACGAGAGGTCGTCCAGTGGTCGAAACTCGACCAAAAATACGTAATGTACTCACTTATCTATTTTCACCCCACACTGTAAATAAAACATGTGATTTGAGTTTCTTCCATTTGTTTTGGTTTTCTGTTTATATTTCGTTGTTATTTTCGTTACCAGCATGGCAACGCATAAGATCCATGTTAATATTTTCAAATTTTTAAACTCATTTTTTGTGCTTATCTTTGAGCCTATTTAAATTTATAAAGGGATTCTGCACACCTACAGGAAAATAGTTTTCTAACGGTATGCGTAGATTTTCCCTACGATGAACACGAGCTGAGAAAAAAGGTTTTAAAGAAACATGCTTGCCTATTAATATATAGAATAGATTGCAAGATTTCTGTTACTACTGACACTTGTTATTTGCTACTTATTTATCAGTTAGGCATAGTTCATAGTTTGAATTGGCATTACTTACAACAGTATTATTATTGCAAGATTTCTGTTACTAGCCTAAGTTACTGACACTAACTTGTTATTTGCTACTTATTTATCAGTTAGGCATAGTGTTCATAGTTTGAATTGGCATTTGAAGGCATTACAACAGTAAGTTATTTAGAACTTTCAGCCTCATGAAGGTCTCATCACCTAAACAAGGTATTGCTGGAGCTGCCTGCTTTTTGCTGTCTTGTAATGCGGAGCCGATTCTAACAGTAGCAAAATTGTTAAAACTTTGTATTGTATTTTCGGAAATAAAGACAGTGCTTTATACAAACTGTCTTGAAGATAGGCAAATACTTACTTAGGCCTATTAAGTTACAACTTAGGTTTTAATCGTAACTGACGGATGTGGTTCAGATTTTATGAAATGCAAGTGGCTCGTCAAATGTTCTTTTATAAAATAAATTACCAGGGCCTAAAATTAAGAGTAGGCTCCGCAAAGTATATACACATTTAAATTGTTTCAGGTAACATATAGGGCACGAACACTTGTCGGTAAGTTAGCATAAGTTAAAACAGTTTGATCGCAAGGGATGGATGAAGGATGAATAAATTGTATGACTAAGCCGATAGCGAGTTTGATCCAGGAAGCTCTGCGGGTGTCAGTATAAACTGGCTGTAGAACGACAAAGTTACTGAAGTGGCTCATCCAACTGTGTCTTAGTTAATGAATTAAAAATGGCTAGCCTACATGCATGTTTGGTTACATTAAGTCAAAGCATTATCTTGATCAATTTTAAGACTAAGTTTACTCACCTTTCACCTCTTTGAGACAAATGATATATGTTAACCCGATGAACTTGACCACCATTTTACCTAAAATTTATATGCCTCGACAAAAAAAAAATCGATAACTTATGTTTAACTTACACTAAGTTATTATTGTCTTGTTACAGATTCCTTGAAGGTGGCTCAACAAAATGCAAGGCATCAAAAGTAACATCTGATCAGTACGGTTCAAGAAGAAACGAGTGTTGAATTCTGATCTTTGTTTTAAATCAAGATTACCTTATTTGGTAAGAACAGTTAATATATTATTTTGTAATCATATCCATGTGTGCATTAATGTCAATAGTGATAAGTCAACGGTAGTCTCTTGCTGGATCCCTTTTGGCTTAGCCAATCAAATACGAGATCTTTGCAATAGTCAGAGCCGCTATCAATTTTTGCTGAAGCATCTGACAGTCGAGGCTTTCCTATAGTTTTATGTACCAACATGTATTTGGGAAAAATTAAATCATGTTTATTCCAGCTAGAGAAGATTTAATTTACCATTTTAATAAAATTGTAGGCTATTGCAAAGCTGTCCTCTTAATGTTTCTTCAGGTAGTCACTCATCACATTCAAAAATATGTAGGCTGCCTATAGACTATAGAGGATCAAAGTAAATGTTTACCTAAATTTGTTAATGCCAACAACTTTTTTAGATTTATTTTTGATTTTATGATCTTAATCATAATTCAACCCATCACTAACAAATTTGTGTTATTTTTATGTTTAGACTCATGCATCTTCGGCTAAAGCGACAGACCCTGAGTTAGAGGCAGTTAATCAAAGACTGGCTCGGACAAGCCAAATCAAGAGGTCTGAGCCAAATACAAGGTAAGTCTTAGTAGTGGTAAGTGAGTAGGCTTAATTCGAATTTCAGAGGAAAGAAAATATATTTCGAACTATGGGAAGTTTAAAATGTAAAGAGTTTGATTTATAGAGGTCAGAAAAATAAAATTTGAATTGTGGAGGTCCCAGTTTTAAGTGTGGAGTTTGAGAGAATGGAGACTAATGAACACATCTTGGGGGACGGATTGTCAGTTCATGTTTCAACAAAGATATTTTTTGTCTTACGGTAATGCAGTTCGAATTGTAGAGGTTGACTTCGAATTTTGGAAGTAACAGTTTTAATTATGGCAACAAAATTCAAATTGTAGAGGCTGTATTAAGCTTAAAACTACTTTGTACTATCGGTATATTATTTTTTTTAATTTTAGAGGCTTTGTGAGGGGAACAGACAAACATTTCTAATTATATAGGTTTTCGAATTAGCGAGGTTCTACTGTATAGGTACAGTTTATGACTTGGCATAGTGAAAAATATAACACTTAAGTTCCAGAACATAAAAAATTGACGATGAATGTTTTTTACAGAGTGAAAATTATTTCAAGTGTTGCAGTCAGAAGAGATGTGTCTATTCTGTTTCTTCCTCTCTAATATAGTTATTTGTGCAACTAGTGAGAAAAGGGAGCAATTGACTCACTCGAGAGAAATACTTACTCACGAGCCGTAGGCGAGTGTGGAATGGTTTCTCGAGTGAGGCAATTGCACTTTGCACTCGAGTTGTACATTATATTTTTCCTACAGTTACCATAAAACAAATAAATGGTAAAGAAACGTGACATATTTTTACACAGAAGTGAACTTTTAATATTACATTTAATGATACAACAGCTGACCAGGTGATTTACAGCCAGTGCTGCCAACGTATATTGCGCGCATACGACCTTGTCTGCATGTTACACGCTCACTATTTCGTGCCTTCACGTTGCAAATCTGGAGTGATTGAGACAAAGTAATTAGAGTGAGACAATGTTAACATTGTCTCACTGATGAGCGAATTGGCCACTTTGCTTTCTAAAATCAGTGAGAGAACATGCACATTGTTAGGTAACTGTAGGAAAAATATTTTGCCAACAGCCGATCAATTTGTCAATGTTTTAAATCTATGCCAGTCTACAGACCAAAAATATTGTTACAACAATCTACATTGCCATATTGTACTATAGTTTTTCAATTTTTTTTAGGAACAAATGGGACAATATTCCTGGTTCTGGAGCCAAGCAACACCCAACACTTGGAAACAAAGACCAAGAATAGTTATTTTTAATTTAACAATTTATTCTTTTACTTTACAAAATTAACACCTAAATTTTAAAAGCTAGCTTTGGAAAATAAATATGTGTGTTTTATAAATAAAACTATATTTCAACAACTCTTTTGTTTCAATTGATTAATATTTACAATTTGTCCAAGGTAGGCCTATATTGCTATTTTTGGTTTAAGTAGTGAGAAAATATTAGTCTTAAGATATATTTATGTGACCCTATCAAGCATATCGAATGTATTAAGAGAATTAACTATCACTGTAGGTGGCACGATCAGACCTAGACCCGGGACTGATATACTTTTTCATTTTGATGTCC